TGGGCAGCGGCCCCGCTGGCCCGGTCCGCAATCCGTCCCTGATGTATATATATAGGGCTGTCAAAATTAATGGGTTAACGTGGATTAATCCATCATCATGATTAATCTGATTAAAATTTTTGACGCAATTAACCCATCTGCGGCGCAGAATGACTCAAAATCCCTGAAATGTCTCTGTCAACCCATTTCGGGCAGTTTTGGTGCGTTCCATTTGCCCTGGGAACTAGTATTCCGAGTCGGATTCCAGTTTTGAAGCTGGAAGTGACGACATGCATGCTCCTGTTTCTCGGAGATCCGAGAAATATCTCGGAGCAGCACAGAGGATCCCGAGTTCAGAATCCAAGGTGGCTGCGCCGTTTATCAACAGAAGGGAAAGTTGTAGTTTTATACTGTTTAAGCACTACTTCTCATTTGTGGCTCATAAAATTGGTTGCACACACTATACCGTCCAACTTATCTGTGGACGTGTTGCTACATAGTTTTATATGTAAATCACCACGTGTATTACACATGTACAACATGTGTTATGAACTGATATTGCTAACAATGGCAATTAACTGAGCTAGAATTAGATTTCATGATTAGTCGGATTATTTGTCGGATTTACGGTAGTTCGGGCTAATTGTAAGCGATTGAACATAAAGACCATTTAAACAGAGGTACCTTAAATCCCACAAGTTGTCCGGCTTCAAGTTGTCCGGTTCATAGTATTGCACTTCTGAAGTTGAATTTGTTCAATAAACATGTTAAGTGCATATACTGTATATTCCCTTTTTTCCTGAGTCTGTTTGCTCTTACAAAATGAAATGCGATTCATATAGATTCAAAATGAATGATATTTAATCGTGATTAATCTAAATTAATCCACAGCAACCCTGTGATTAATCTGATTAAAAATTTTAATCGTTTGACAGCACTAATATATATATATATGTATATGAATATATATATATGTATGTACAGTATAGAGAGAGAGAGAGAGAACGGAAAGGGGCAGTTGATTGTATTGGAATGAGTAAAATCAGAGCAGAGTGAACAAAGACAAGACCAAGGGATTTATGGACAGGCAAACAGGAATTGTTCTTCATGAAAAGGGGAACAAAGGAAGGGGTGTTTGGATTGGCACGAGCCACAGTCAGGAGGAGGTGAACTTGAGGGGGGACATTCCAGTAATGGGCTGGGGTGGATCTCTGGAAGCCTGTGATTGTGAGGACTACAGTTGGGCGTAGGGTCAGGGGCCGTGGGGGTTAATGCGAGGCCACCTCAGCCACCCCACACCCATCTTGGGGCTGGTTGAGTTCCTTCCACACATTAACGGCAGGAAGCCAAAAATTAGGCTTTCAAGTAGCGTCCACCCTGAGCTCTCAAAGCCTTGAAGTGAAGGAGGACCAACTTGCAAGTTTATAACATCCTACAGGTCAAGAGTGAGAGCAGCCATGAGACATTATTAATAAAGCCCAGCCAAAAACTGCTGTTCATTGGACACATTGCTCATCTTCATTGATTGTCTCAATGTATCTTAGTGTTTTGGTATTAACAGTATTTTGTTAGAAAACTTGGTAACGCTTTACTTAATGCACTATAATGCATTATAGATACATCATAGTACATAAGAACATAGCTAGAAATATTTACAGGTATAAAAAGGCATAACACATTGTAGTCATATGTATTTTGCATTATGAATGCTTTATGAAGCTCTCGTTTATAATGCATTATTGATACCTTCATAATGCATTGTAAAGGTCAGTATAAGAATTAAGGATGCTTTGCACTGCCTTATTACAGATATGAATGATATGAATGATTTATGTAGCTCTCACTGCATAATAAACATGGCCATTTATTAATACCTATACTTGTGTTTATAATACTTAATGAATGCATCATGATGCATTATGAAGGTATGTTTAATGCATTGATACGACCACTTTAACTAAAGTGTTACCGAAAACTCTGATTAAAGTATAAGGCATATCAACCACATACTGTGTAATAAACTGTATTTCCTTTAGAGTTTCACTTTTACTTTGGTGTTTTGATATCTTTGTGGGGCAGCATGGCGGTTTGCTTCACACCTACAGGGATGGGCGTGTGATTCCTGGTCCTGGTGGAGTTCACACGTTCACCCTAAGCTTCTGTGGGATTCCTCCAGGAACCATCGGAGTCTCCAGCCATCCAGAAACACGGTGGAGTGAATTCCTGTCTAAATTATCCACAGTGTGGGAAAGTGGATGCTAAGTCCTGCCTTGAAGTGAACTGACATCTCTTCCAAGATATCACCTGCTGTAACAAGATCCCTCAAGGACATGGGACCCATGGGCAGAGCGAACTGGAAACCAGAATGATAACCAAGAGTCATGGTCCGGAAGGGAAGGTTAGGTTGGAAAAGCAGAAGGTCGGACCTGAGGGAGGAGGGTAAGGCAGGAAACGGTGAATCGAGACCCACACCTGCACTGGGATGGGGTTGGAATCTACACTCACTGGGCAACAGGGTACATACACTTTTTAAACCACATATATAGAGCAAGGGGCACGCACGGAAAAGCAGGGATCAAAGACACTTCGCAATCGGACGTAGTCAACAATTCTTTGCACTGGGGAAGCTGGCTAGACCGGTTATATAGGACTGGCAATTAAACAACACTGAAACCACGATGAGGCACGTCTGTCAGTACTCCGGTGTGGGAGACCTGATGTGAGGGTGTGGAACCGGGGGACTGGGGTCCTACCTCTCCCCTGCCTTGTGTCTGGGGCTTCCTGGGATTAGAGTCCAGGTTCAGTGTGTTTCTGTATGGAATAAGTAGCGTAGAAAATGGAAGAATGGATGTCATTCTGATTATTCAAAACGGTAGAATGATTTCAATGCACGAGTGATTTGGCGTGAGCAGGATCTCTCCGATAATACTGTAGTGTTTTTCCACCCTATCTGTAACAGACAGGAAAGACCAGCTTGAGCAGGCAAGAAATATCTATGTCAGGAATGGGTAACTTGTAAAGAGGCTTGCGTAATGCTGTTCATTAGCAAGCATTCAGAATGGAAACAGATTCCTAACAGTCAGGAAAATTCAGTCAGGAAACTACACAATGTGTGAGTGTTACTTTTGTCTGCACTATCTAGAAAAGATTGACGTTATACTCTTTTACCTCTTGACCTTAGAGTTTAAAAGTAATATCTCCACATACTTCCTTTTGTGAGAGGCAGAATCATATCTGATCACTGTACTCCGGAGTAATTTTTATTTCTAAAGATTTCAGCTGGAATTTGAGTCCTAACCAGGATTTAAACTTTTTACAGGCTCTGTGCACTCCTGGATTGTGCCTCCTAACAGAGAAACATAGCCATGTGTTAAGTGACTGCCTACCTCCCCTTAGAGAGGAGCTCACAGGTTGTCAGACAAGGAGCTCAGACAAACTTGCCATCCCATGATATCAAACTGAGAGATATAGGGGATTAGCGATCTTCTATATACAGTATGTGTAGCCCATAGGAATATTCAGTTATATATATTTTTTCTTCCGTTCAGTTTACATGAAGCTGTGTAGCATGAAGCTGAGATTTACCCAAACCTGTAGCCCTGTTTTGTCAGTCAGGCAATGACTGTGAGCTGACTGAGACTGTGCTGGTACCCCATCTGGAGAGGCAGGGGCAGGATTTTGAGAAGGGCGGGGGCAGAAGGAGGCTGGCAAAAGGGAGGAACCTGGCTTTGCAGAGCGCTGAGAAAGGTGCTGCTTTTGGCTCACTCAAATGAGTAATAACAGGGAATATTATTTTCGTGATGAGAGCTTGGCTTGTGCATCCTGTGTAAAGTGTTTTATTGATTGACCATATTACACGAACAGGTTAGTTTTGCTGGCTGCATAGTCACGGCCTAAGAGGCGCCTTGTGTTACCGGTGACACACAAAAGTTCCTGGGGTTTTGTGGGAGTTCATGGACAGGCCAGAGAACATTTTCTGTGTGGCTCTGCAGGTACCAGTCTGACGACAAGAAGGACTGGAGGGAACTAACAGTTTGCTTTGTTTTTTTTTTTTTGAGCAAAGCGGCCATTACGGTTTCTGTCTCAACGCACACAAGCTTAGATCAGATCTGCAACGTAAGAGCATTTTATTTTTCATCTTAGAATAGTCCAGAGTACTGAGTACAGAGTATTTCTTGAATGTTGTTATTGGATGTCCTTTTATTTATTCTGCCCAGAAAATTTTCCATTTGTCTTATCTGTCCTTAAATTGAAACACGTATGGGAAGATGTGAACTGGGCCCGTTCAGTTATATGCTAAAATTGTGTTATCTGTCATTGTAAGTTGCATGTATTGGGATTGTCTGTGACGCCGATTGGTAGAGATGGTTAATGTTTATTACAGTCCGCTGTATATATGGAGTTTGGCCAAATGTTAATGCTACGGTGTGGTCTTTATGAACGGATGCCGAATTCATTCAAATAATGGCGAATGGTTAAAATACTAATTTCTTTTATGGTAAACATGCAACAGAAGAAGTCAGCAAAGGAAGAGCTCTGAGAGTGATGAAGCACACAAGCAAGTTCAGTCCCGCGGAGTGAGGAGGTGAGTAGGATTATACCACAGTGCCCGCTCTCCCTCCTGTCTATGGTACCAACCCGCCAAACTCCCCGATAATATCAAGGACGGGTTGCAGAAGGCAGCCAGGTGTTACAAGCATCACCGATGACTAACTCCCCCCAAGCTGCGCAGCCTTTTCACAAACAGCATGCGCTGACCCCACAAAGATCGAAGACTTTGAGTTGAGTTGAAGATGCCCAGTTGACTGCCCATCTTTTATGGTATGGATCAACCAAATTGTGGCATCACAGTGCTCAGGAGGAACGAGCGGCCAATCAGGGACTGGCTTTTAACACTCCCACATAGAAATATCCTTCGACACTTTTTCAATCAAGAGTCTTTTCAGAGTCTGCATCCATTCTTCTTGTTCATCTTTTATATATTATTTATTATTTATATAATTTATATATTATTGATCTGGAACAACTCCATGTTCTTTAAAAAAATCTGGTGTTAATCTGGTATAAAAAAATCTGGTTAAATCCTGGTGTAATCCTGGTTCTGATGGCAGGCTATAAGGCAGGTTGCTTCCAGGCTGAAATATTCTAAGACAGCAGTACACAAGAACAAGGTGAAACGTGAGACACTGGGAGCAACCAGAAACCAGCCAGGTAGAGAGCGGAAGCAACTTTCTAATGGCAGAAATGACAATTAACAATTAATTAAAATCTGACAGTGCCTCATAAATTGGAAGATGACCTCAAGTGACCTTCAAAAAGAATGGGAAACATTAAGTGCAAGTGTTAAGTGCACTGCTAGGACAGTTCATATCAGGCTTCTAGAAGCAGGGCTGAAGTCTCAACAAGCAAGGAAGAAGCCCTTCATTAATGAGAAGCAGGGAAGAGCCAGGTTGCAGTTTGCAAATATTATTATTCACAGATGCACACCTATAAATTGAAAAATGAGTCAAACAAAAATTGTGCTGTGGTCTCTTAATTTTTTCCAGAGCTGTATGTGTGTAGGGTGGTTGTAAATGTCTTTTTGCCCCTGCTGTATGCCCGCATCAGTATGTGAAAGTCTGCACTCTTGTCAGTGTGAATCTGTGACACACATGTTCAAGTGTGCAAACGCACTCACATTTGGATGCATCGCTGTCTCTGTTCAGGTCTTCCTGCTGTGTACGGCATGTGAATATGTCTGGGGACATCTGGTATGTGTGTCTGCAGTCTGCATGCATTGATGTGTGTGCCTATGTATGGCCGGTTTCCAGTGTGTTCGGCTGCACAGGTACAACACTGATGGCTGGGCAACAACAGAGGGGCCATGCACTGAGAAAACAGTCCCTCCCCTTTTTGTCCACGGGGGGGTCTGCAGCTGGAATCATCACTACCCCCCTCACGCCCCCTTCGATGTCTGCCACCGTTACGCCACTTAAAAATGCCACATGTGGGATGCAGATGATAATTCTTCTGTCCGAAAGCTAAACGCAACTCAAAAGCTAAGGCTGAATGGTTGCATAATGAACTATTTATTCACCTGTTTAATAATTGATTATTGCAATAAATTTTTCACTTACCGTAAAACAGAAACTAGCCCCTCAGCAGAAGACGTCCTTTCTCGGCTCTCGCCTTGTGAAGACCTTGGTGAGGCGGGACCTCGTTTGCTCGCTTGTACTTCCTGACCTCTCTGTCTTGCTTGGTGAGTCTCTTATGTTCCCTCTCATCTGCCATTGCTTTCAGTCCATGTGTGTCTTTAGAATGTATGTTACCTCCTTACTTTGTGAAATTCTTCACATTTTTTTTTTAATTCTCTTTTCACTTATATCTGTTTTTGTATTTAATTTTTTTTTTTTTTCCCTTCAGAAGAGTACTGGGGAGAAAGCAAGAATGACGTCCTGTAATAGTGAGTAGCCTCGCCAGAGGTACAGTTTCATTTAGCCTCCATTATCTCAATTGTCTGAATAGTCTGTGCCTTACATTATCTTTTCGGTTACAACAAACACCTGACTCAACGCGATTGGTTCTCCCTGCCGTCCTCTCGCAAAATACCTACCTGTTAGAGGGTCGGTGGCAGGTGTTAGATCACATGACCTACTGGCACCATTGGGGTGCTGTAGCTCTCCTTCAGTCTGGCTGCAGAAAGTCTCAGCGTTGTGGTAGGACTCCTGAGCGGGAGACGAAAAGGGACAAGACTCACACACTGCAATTTACCCCCGAAGCCCCCAAAATTTCCATGCACTGCTTGTTAGAAAAGGAAAACCAAGAAAAAAAAATTATGCAGGCAATCGCAGTCCCAGTCAGTTCCAGATACGTTATGGTTTTCCAGGATTGTTTTTCAAGTATCTCCCTTGTTCCTACCAACACATGAAATTGTCAGGCAGCTGGATCTCAAAATATACAACTATACCTTTAATCACCTCCTTTATTTTTCCCCAGTTGCGCCGAGCAAAGGAATGAAGCTGTACGGCAGGCAAACTGACAAAGAGTGGCATCAAACGGATGAAGTCGCAGTTGCCGGAGCATCCTGATTGGAGGAGGCTGTTTACCGCCTGAGCTCATCCACCGTGGCACCTTCTCTCTCTCGGTTAACAATAGTCTAGGGGAGCCGATCGCTGCAAAGGTGGTTTGAAGTGATGACGTGAGAGAGGCTGGCGTTTTTGTAACCATGGCAACAAACGCACTCTCCCGCAAACATGGGCTCATTGAGTGGCACTCAGTCGCAGCCCTGGGAGTGTTTGCCTACAATGAAGCACAGGCTCCAAAGGAGGTACATGTGACGATGGCGGGCAACAGGATTTCTCCTTTTTTCTACGTGAGATGAGGCAGAGATTAGCGGAATCTGACAAGCATGAAATGACACACAAAACGATTATTGATTATCTGATGACCAAAGTATTTTACAGATGATATCCCCAATATCTCAATCACCATGAGCTTGATCTATGGCATATGGAGCATAAATATATTGATAGGGGAAAACTTCACTGACCTTATATACCTTCTTCTATACAATAAATTTAGGGCTGTCAAAATTAATGGGTTAACGTGGATTAATCCATCATCATGATTAATCTGATTAAAAATTTTAATCGTTTGACAGCACTAAATAAATTATATTTATACGGTGGCTCCCCGGGTTACGATGGTCGGAGTTACAATATTTCGACTTTACGATGGGTAAATGGTTTTCACTTTAGTACATTATTCTATAAATTACATGACATATTCAACATTACATTAAAAAAATAGCTATGTATATACAGTATATTAGCTAATTTAAGGATTTTGCCCAACTATAGACTAATGTAAGTGTTCTATGTATGTTTAAGGTAGGCTATGGTATGCTATGATGTTTGTTAGGATAGGTGTACTGTATTAAAATGCATTTTTGCTTTACGATATTTTCACCTTATGATAGGTTTATCGGAACGTAAACCCATCATAGCTCAGGGAGATGCTGTAATAAATGGCTACACTAAAATCACAGACAGAGAAGAGGATAAGCTATTATTCATGAAATATGTAAATCTGGAAACATAATGCTCCTGAAAGCTTCATTGTTGAGCTTCTGTTTGCTTCTCTCTGCCACTGCCTTCCTCAGTTGTGTTTTGCAGCCATCTACTTCTAAAATTCTGTTCCTTTTCTATCCTGGCTTCAGCTCCGGACCATGATCAGCTTTGCCGGAGTGTTCTCAGAAAACCAGAAATCCGAATGCCCCCTTATCTCTGTGCACCATCCGTCCACTCAAAGTGGACTTCAGCTTTGCATTTCACCCCTTTGACCCACTTCCTGTATCGCCGTATGCTGCTTTCTGCCCGTCCTGTCAATCCGGAGTTCTGTCAGCCTTTTCAGGAAGTCCGGCTGCTGCTCCACCTCTGGGTATCGCTACATAAAGTTACACTGGCAAGGGACAGCTACAGCCGTGCAGTGTGACAGAGCAGTGCAGCAAAGCCAGTCCGATGCAATTTCGGAGGAAGCTCAATTTAATCTTTGCGATTCTTTAAAATTTCTTTCGGTATTGATGGGTCACAAAATAAAATGAAATGGTATACAGCCATGACTGTGAGAGTGGATCTGGTACATGAAACCTGTTAAGACCACTGCACGTATTCCTGCAGGATCTTCACATAACTTTCTAAATTATTTAGTTGTTATTATGCATTTTGCATCAAGCAGTACATTCATAAACTATAATCTAGCATCCAATACAGAACTTTCCATTTATTACTCAGAGGAACAGTAAAGGCAGCTGCATTGAGATTGTTGTTTGCAACAAACACAAAGGCTAACAGAACAAAGAGGTCAGTTAAAGTAATCTATGATGGTGACACATGTGTGAGTGGGCTGCAATTGTGGGGTGATAACTAGGAATCGCTGCTGTCCGGCCTCCCACAAGGCTTCTGCCATGGAACCGGAGCCTCTCTCAGGCCTTCGGGAGGTATACACAATCTTAACAAGCCATGTGCTCTCTCGCGCCGCTTCTCAGATAACCCCACCGACTATTCGACAGTTAGCTTGATACATTCCTGGCTTAACTGGATCCAAACAAAAAAAAAATAAAAAAAATCAACCTTGAATGAAGGAACCAGCCAGGCTAAAATAATCAAGCCATGGGACACTGATGGGACGCCACACGTGAAATCTCAGAAGGAAAAAAATACAGCTTGGGTGATTCTGCTGGGCTAACATCAGACAGAAAACTAAAAGGGTAATAATTTTACCTTTTACCAGCCCTACAAAGTGAGGATGAGGGAAGGATGAGCAGGACTATTCCATCAGTTAATAAAAGCATAAATAATGCATCTCATACTTCTCATTCATAGTGCATGAAGGCTAATGGCAATTTCCAGCATGGTGTCAACAACACCCACACTCTGTACTACCCCTTTAAACGCTGTTATTCGAAAGTATGACTTAAAATTCAGCTTTGACTCCAATTCATGGTCCATTACATATGACAGGAGATAGGTGTCGCTTTATAGTAAGAGAGAGTAACACCAAGACACCGACTGCGAGGAACCAGGATCTCATGGCCTTCAAATCGTCACGTTTTCCTCCCTCAAGGGTGCAACGCTAAATTATAGCCTTACTGTGAGCCCCTAGTCGCAGTTCAGATTCAGTTATTATTAAATAACCCGCCTTTTAATTGCACAGATAACTCACCTTAAGGAATCCTTACCTGGAAGTCTCAGCAGAGTACTGCCCACATTCTGTGATACTTTATGATAAATAAACAAAAGCTAAAACCGCCTTTCAGACAAATGTGGTGAATTAAATTAAACTTAATCTGGCTTCACTTAATTTTCATAAGAGACTCAGACCCACATTTTTAATGCTAAAATTTAGGAATTTGCCATGACATGAGTTGAGCCCAGAGCTAGCGTTTGTCCTAACAACAGACTCACACAGTTGTTATATTTTATAATACCATTGCCATTCTAAATGGAACAGAGTATTTTGACAATGTGTGGGTTGCTAGGCATAATTAGACAAGGTCAGGGATGGACCTCTCTGGCAGACACGGACGACTGGGTCCAGATCCTCCCAGTGCCGGGGGAGGCAGATTAAAACAGTCCTCTGACTCAACCAGACTGACGCAACGTAGCTCCTGCTTCTATTCACCAGATGACACGCCCCTCTGGCCTGCTGTCGTGCAGCGACTGGGAGCTTTAAAACGCTAATTCTTCTGCAAACATCCTGAGTCTTTTCAACTCAGTTTTTTCACTATATTTTTTTTGGCAAGAGTAAAATAGTTGTAGGGGCAGAAATAATTTCATTCTTCCTTTTCAGATCTAAAAGGGAACACTCTGTCCCGAAATAATAGCATCATCCGAGACAAAGTAACAACCTGCATCCATCCAAAAAATACCTTCAAAATACTCAGGAATTAATAACATCGTTGAAAAACCTTACATGACACTAACGTGACCATTATCCAGGGGCATTAATGTAACATGTAGAATACACATACCTGGTAATGCTATTTTGGACATTTATAAATGCTGTGATCATCCTTAACTGGGTGTCCCTTGCTTCGTGCTCTGTGCTTCTGAGAAACTCTGGAATTCTATTGGTGATGGAGTCATGGACGATTGACAGACAGATGGATGAATAGCCAGATGGCTCCTGTCGTGTGTTTCAGCCAAAGTGGGGCTGTTTGCTGATGGGAAAGGCTTTTGTGAGATCCCATTGTTATATGTTGTACAGTATATGCTAGCAGGACTAGCTCATGGGTAAGCAATTATTTTCTCCACAATCCAAACTCCATTGGCGACACTAAGCCATAATATTTTCCAGGGTAGGTTTCGCTAATCAGGGGAAGGTGGGGGGCAGGGGGATCCCGCAATTAAAGTTACCAGGTGCTGGGGGGAACGTGTTGTTTGTGAGGTCCGAATTGAATTGTGTTTCGGTTCTGAGCCATACCGGAACCCACAATTTCAGTACCCCGGGATAATATTGTGCTGCTATGTTGACTTAGCGAGGGATTCTTTTAAATAAGCTTATTTAGGTGTAGCCGAGACAACCAGACGCAGCAAAATGGAAAACACACAGAAATCGAGTCGCAACTGTTGGTGCCACAATTGTTGTTTGCCTAGTGACAGGGACTACCGGCTTAAACCAAAACTAAAACAAAACAAACCAATGTAATGCTTTCTCAAGCCAGATATCTTCAGTTTCAGTTCTGGGTTATGCTCCCTGTCTGATACTGCCCTTTCAAATCGCTTTCAGTTTTATTTCTATAGTGCTTTTTCACATCATTACATTGTCTCAAAGTGCCTTACATTATCCCTGCCCAAAGCATCCCTTTCTGCATTATTGACGGTTTATCACATTAACACCTGTTATATGTAAGTTACTATGGGACACATGACAGAATAAAGCACAGAGCGTAAGTGGGAATTAAGACACACAGAAAACATATTCAATCAGACCACCAGGAATACGTGCAGTGGTCCCCAAAACTTCAAAAATTATATTCTCTGGGCATTTAAATGTCATGCCTCACAGGCTCCCAATACAAATTACAACCAAAATAACATTCTAGTGATGTCATAGGGTGTCTTTTTTTGGAGAACAAAGAATCAATTCTGCCTCTCCTTTTCAGCACCACCAAAACAAAGAGAGCACTTGATAGATGTAGCGTTGATAGCAATTTACGCAGCACTGAATTCAGAAAGGATGGTTTGCCTGCATACACCCAACATACCTGTGAAACACACAAAGAAGTATTACCTGGTACTTTAATAAACTGACACGGGCCAATTACATTTTCCTTTACAAGTACCACTCTCCCAAAAGGACATTCTGAAATTACTTAGAAAAATAACTCAGTTTTAATGTAAATGTACATCTCCAGATATGTGATACATGTTTTGGTTAATTGAAATGAATGAAAACTCTCACTTTCGCATCAGTCTCTATCTCCAGCATGTTTGTTGTGACTGTGAGCATCTTTTCGAGAGCATGAAAATGGATGGTCAATACGTTTCCCTGGTGATAAGACTAAACCATACTGAACGGTCATCTGTACAGTTCTTTTAAAAGCTGGATTAATTGTGTCCACATTTGACACCTCCCCATAATTTTTTCGGGTATCATTCATGCTAGGTGGAACATCCTACTGCCTTTGTGCAATGTGTTTGATCTGTATCTGTACCTGAAAGAATTATCGGCAGTGATATATTAATTACAAAGGAGATGTGCTACTCTGCCCAATTACCATCCAGAGTACATACAGTAGTGGGAAGTGTGCGGATTTCTACATCACGGGCATGCAGGTGCGAGTGCATGGATGCACCTCACCGACGTGTACAGAGACACTGATCACAGCCCTCCTGAGATACCAAAAGAGAGAGAGAGAAGTATGCCATGAACACGGCCGCTGCCGCTCACTTACCTTTCCACATGGCGTGGAAGGCTGGCAGGTCAGGTGACGATCCCAGTAAATGGGGACCACTGAGGACAAAGAGGACCCAGTAAGGATGAGAAGGACCTGTGAAGGATGAGAAGGACCTGTGAAGGATGAGAAGGACC